CTATTCCTGTGTGATGCGAGGGCACCCACAGCCTTCGGAGGGTTGCTGAGCTGGTCTTGGGTTTACATGAGATGAGCCACCCTTTGGGGTTCCAGCCCAAATTAACCTGTCACTCATGACGTAGCTCAACCTTGGTGTCCTGAGGTCAAGCAGGATGTGTTCGTCACAGTGGGCTTAGCCCCATACTGGCTGTGTGACCACAGGCAATTTGTTTAACTTCTCTGTGCTCTGGTTTTCCCATCTGTGAAATGGGAACAGACAACAAGGTCGTGGTGTTCTTATAATGATTTGGCAGCAGTAGAAAAAGTACTGGACACACAGTAAGTGACAGGTAATCGTTAATTTTTCTTGACCTCACCCCTTTCCCTCTCATCTCCTTCCTTCCTTCGTTTGGTCTTCAATGTTTATTAGCAACTACTGTGTGCCAGACACTGTGCTAAACGAGTTTTAAAACATAAAACTACTTAGAACTCAAGATTCCCCATCTCACTTACCCCAGCTGCACCTCAGACGTCATCTCCTACCCCTCTCCCTGCCCCTATTCACTCCACACAGCTTCCTTGGCTGCCTTTCTGTTCACTGAAGACCCCAAGCTTATCCCTGCCCCAGGGCCTTTGTACTTGCTGTACCTGCCGACTGGGCCATGCTCCCCCATCACTCCAGTCCAGGCTGATACACCATCTCTTCTAGAGGCTTCCCCTGATGAGCATGGCTGAGCTGGCTGCTCCCCACCCCAAGGCACCAACACATGGGCCTTGTTATTTTTGTCATGACACTTAGTTGTTTGAAATGATGTCTTTGCTTGCTTGTTTATTGCTGGTTTTCCCCATGAGAATGTGACTCCATGAGGGCCAGGACTTTGTTTTGTTCACTGTTTTATCCCTAGTGCCTAGAACAGCATATGATGCACTCCAAATATATTTTAACTGAAAGAATGAATGTTAAGGAGCCCACAAGAATTATGGGGGACATTTCAGCTTCTGCCAGGAGGTGCCCAAGATGAGCATCTCTGATTCACAAAGCAAAGGAACTAAGGTGCCAATCTAGCCTCACTGATTCTAAGGATTTTCATAAAGCCAAGCTGCACGATCACTGATCCTCAAGGCAGACCTGGGAGAGTGAAGCAGAGAAAAAGGGAAGGTGGTGAAGGAGGGAACAGAGTCTTCAGTTTCCCCAGCTCTTACTTTCAGAAAAAGGCAAATGAAATGACTGAATTTCCATATGGCAAACAATGGACCTTGTCCCTACCTCACACCATACAAAAAATTAATCTGAGATGGAGCACATCCCTAAACCTACAAGCCAGAATCAAACAGCTTCTAGAAGAAAACATAAGAGACTATCTGTGCTACCTTCAGAGAGGCACAGATTTCTGGAGAAACACAAAAAGCACTAATCCCAGAAGAAGAGAAAATGAATTAGTCTTCATCAAAATAAAATATTGCTGCTCATAACAGGACACAATGAAGAAAATAAATAGGCAAGCTATATACGGGGGGAAAATATTTATAATACATTTGACCAAGGACTGACATCCAGAATACACAAAGAACTACTGCCTATTAACAATACAAATACGAGTAACCCAACAGAAAATGGGCAAAAACCCTGAATAGTCACTTCACTCAGGAAGACATGTGGATGGCCAACAGGCACACACACTGGGGCCCAACATCATTAGTCATTAGGGAAATGCAAATTATTAATTATGTGCCATGAGACACCATTTTACACCCATTGAAAGGCTACAATTAAAAAGACTGACAAAACCAAATATTAGTGAGGATGAGGAACAAGTAGAACTCTCCTACACTCTTACATGGAGTGTAAAATGATTGTGTAAAATGATTTAGCAAATACTTAAGTTGGAATATAGGCTTTTCCTATGACCCATCCCCAGGTATTTATCCAAGAGAAATAAAAGCATTTGTCCACAAAAGGCCTTGAACAAGAATGGGCACAGCAGCCTTACCCATAATGCCCAAACCCTGCGTACCACCCGAATGTCTATCAAGGGCAAATAAACAATTGTTATATTCATTCCATTAAATACTGCTCAGCAATAAAAAGGAAAGAACTACCAAATCACGTGATAATAGTGATGGATTTCAAAAGCATTATGCTGAGTGAAAACAGTGGACAAAATAGAACACATATATAATTCCATCACATAGGTTCCAGAACAGGGAAAACTAATTAATGGTGATAGAAATCTGAGCAGTGGTAGCCTGTGTGTGACGGGGAGGAGGCAGGGACTGCGGAGCACTCGGGAGCCATATGAGTGAAAGAAATGCCCTGCATCTTGTTCTGAATAGTGGTTACATGGGCAGAAACCTGTGGGCACCCATCTGTGCAAAGGTGAGATCTGGCCTCTGGCATGCTGGCCTGTCAAGAAATGTAAGGAACCTGCATTTCTAGCACATAAGTCCACTTTCCAAAGAGTGGCCTCCAGTAGTTTGTTCAAGTTTTTTCTACAGGAATTTGAGAACATACCCTTGAACCTTAATTTGTTACATAAAAGGCACCTCCAAAGTAAGCAAGTCAGCCTTGTAAATAAGTACCAGCCCCCCGACTGTTTTTCTTACCAACTTGCCCTCCCCAAGGGGTACACACTAAGTCAATCAGTCAATAAATATTTATGGTACACATGCTGCATCAATACACATTATGGACTAATTGTCAAATATTTATGGGCTATCTCCCTAAGGGTCATACCACAAGTTAATTAGTCAATAAATATTTATGGAACTACCAGGCACCAGTCCAGGTAAATAGAAAAGGAAGGAAATAAAAATGATGGGAGATTCTGAGTGTGACAGGGAGAGGGGCCAGTTGGGAGCTCCGGCTGGTATTACACAAAAGGGTTAAAGAAACCAGCAGAAGAAGGTATTTCAACGAATTAGGAAGTTGGAGACCCTGGCTCTGCTACCTACCAAGTAAAAATGAGTAGATCACTTTACCGACAGCATCTCAGTTTCCTTATCTATCAAAATAGGTAGCTGAATCAGCCAAACGCTTCTTTAAAAGAATAGAAAAAAGACCCTATGGGTTCAAATAACTCTACACAGCGTCCTGAAGACCTTGCTGGAGGCGCATGTGGCTCAGCGTCGCACATCGACATGAGGTGAGCTGGCCTGAGGAACATGGGCCCCTGTACATGGTCCCTCCTGAGGCCCCCTCTTCCCCACCTTACTGCAAACCACAGCCCCATCCTGGAGAGTGAGTCATTTGCCAGAATGACTTATCATCTCAAAATCTCAAAATCCCCCAAATCACTGAGGAAGAGCCCAGGTTTTCTTCCCAAAACATCTTGAGATGTTCAAAACCAAGACCAGGGTGGGGCAGCCACCACGACCAGCACTCGGGGGGCGGGGGTGGGGTCTGCTGGGTAGAGGAGGGGAATTCCAATGTTCTTGAGATGATGTTTTTTAACACTTGTTTTCCTTTGCTGTCTGCCGTTGGGTCTTTCTCTTCACAAACATCAGAGCACAAACCGACCACCTCATCCAGCCTCATCTCCATCGGGCCTCTCAAGGCTGGAAGAAATCACACGGCTCCTGCTTCCTTTTCCAAAGACCAACCAAGACCAAATTCTGGCTTTTCTCCCGAGGACAGTCCACCCTCTCTGCCTGTTGGCTTCTAATCCCAAGAGCCAGTCTTCCTCAACCCTTTCTACATGAAATATTCATGCTTTCCCTTTTCTCATTAGCGTCTGATTAGGACTACCTCTGATTAATCAAAGCCACGTGCAGATTTAATCTGATCCACACAGTATTTTGACTCTGTTGCTGCTTTTTAAAAATCAGATTTTTGGTTTAATCTTAAAAAATCAGAAGAGTTTGCCACACTGAGTCTAGTCCCACATGCAGATACAGGCTGCAATTGGGTACAGCAACCCATTTAGATGGTGACTCTGCCCTCCTGGCCCCCAGCCGCCACCACTCCCTACTGATGCCCACCCTAACCACTTCACTCATTTCCATGACCTCCCTGGCCTCTGTAGGCAACTGAATTTTTGACACCTAATTATGGTAAAATGTCTGGCAAAAAGGAAAACAAATTCTGAAACACAATTGAACACTTTTTCTTCTTCATGCTTTTAAAAATAATTTCTAAACTCTCAAAAACTGAGCAGACAATAAACTTTATCATGTTTAACTGCCAAAAAAAAAGGAACAAAAAACTTGCCTAAAATGCCTAAAAGTGAGTTCAAAGCAGCTTCTTCTTAGAAGCCAGATTAGAACCAAGCCAAGTTCGGGCTCAGAGCCCTTCCACATGATAGACCTTGGCCACCACGTGCAGGATCCTGCAAATCTTCTCCATCTTTGTTTAGGCGTCTTTCTCTCCACCAGACTGTAAGTTGGTTCAGGACAGAGAAAATCTCTTGCTCAGCTGTGGATCCCCAGAACAGCACCAGACACTGAGCAGATTCTCAGTGAACATGCAGGGAAGGGCTTACCCGACCCCTCATCTCTGTCCTTCCCCCTTCTGTAAAATGGGTAACATGACATCAGTTGAGGCCACGGACGGCGGTGGATATTCAATGAGCTATTGCATGCTGAGTGCTTAGCATAGCGCCGGGTGGGGTCAGCTCCCTGAGCAAGAACAACTGTGATAGTATCGTTATTCTTGTTGGAAAAAAAAAAAAAGAGTGTGAAAAAGAAAGAGAGCATACTGTATGCAGTGAGCTCACTCCAAATGCATCTACCCTCCTAAGACTAGGACATTTAGATACTTCAAATCTTCTAAACAAAGTTGTAGGCTACCCATTTAGCTATATTATTTTTTAATTTCCTGTGAGGCCACAAAACCCTCTACAAGTAAATAGAAGCAGAGAGAAACACTTCAATGTGCTCTGTTTCTGGTGCCTTTGGCCATCTTGGGCCCACTGGTGATCCCTGTGGGTCCTACGTATTCGAGATGCCCAGGTGCCTTGCGCGGAGTGGAAGGTCACGTAACAGCACTTTGCAAACATCGGCCCTGCCCAAGGCCTGACTTACAGCACTCAATGGGGTTGGACGCCGTCTGCAAGGACACAATCCTGCTGCTGGACTCCGGGATGTGCACTCGGAAAACGAGCCTCACACGCGTGTTCTTTCTCCCGATGTCTGTCTCGCCTTTCCGCAGCTCAATGTCGGCATTTCTAAGCTTCAGGATTCCCGCACAGTCGATGCTACCAGGAGGATGAGAAGCCCATTTACTACCAATCATCTTAGTGAGCAGGAATGGTCACCCACAAAACCACCTTCGTCAGTGAGCCACATAATTCTACCATCAGCCCAGATGGGGAAATTACAATGCACTGATAAATACTTCAGCCGGGAATTTACACCAAGATGGGGGTGAAACACAAAGCAATTAGAGAAATTCCCCAGTGGAAATCATTCCTCTAGGGAGATTTTTTCACACCAACTTTTCTACTCTCAAAAGTATCTGAAAAACTCAAATACGTGGCAATTGGCAAAAATTGATCTTGGACTATTCAATAGATGAGATAGGGTATGAATATTAAATATCTTGCATTTGATAAATGTACTGTGATCATGTAAGAGAGCATCCTTGTTCTTAGGAAATGCATGCTGTTGCATTTAAAATGAAAAAATCATCATGAAAGCAACTAACAAACGGTTCAGGAAAAAATGGAGAAGGTGAGAAAGGGAGTGATTATGCAAATGTGAGAAATGTTTACATTTGGTAAGTCTGAGTGAACAGTATACAGGAGCTCTGTGTATGATTCTTGCAGTTTGCAAGTTTGAGATTATTTTCTAATAAAACGTTTTTTAAACTCCAATGTATGGGTGCAGTGCTTCCCAAATTTTAGCCATATGCATATTATTTTGTGAGTTTTGACCTATCTACACCATTCCTTAATAATGTTCTCAAACAAACTTCTTAAATGTAAAAAAATTTAGCTTCATCCCCAAGCAACACAATCCAAAAATGCATAGTATTCTTCCTCCTAATACATACGAAAACTATCTGGGTATTAGAACTTTTAAAACAGAGACCATTGTGGATCCATCACAGACAGGGAATCACCATCTATGGCGGCTTCCATCAGCGCCAGAGTCCTGCCCCCAACTCCCTGCCAGTTGGTCCCATTCACTTCCCCAGAAAGACCCACCACCCTCAGCTCCCAGCCCTTACGTCGCCCTCATGTTGTTTTTTGGCTCCAGAGGGATCTCCAGGACTTTGGTGTTGCCCACAATCTTCTCATAGCTGGTGGTGGTGACAGTTTTTCCCGTGATCCGGTGCACCTGGTAGAAGGCGTGGGGTTTAAGGATCCGCTCATCAGCCGTCCCAATGAAGATCTGAAGCCCCAGGGGCTTGTTTTCCATGTAGCCATGGAGCTGGGGGGAAGAAAACAAAATCAGATTATCACAGGGCCATTAACATGCAGAATGTCTGTTTCATTAACTTGCCACAAAATCCCTAACACCTAGAATAATGCTTGGCACATGCTAGGCATTCTGGTACATATTTGCTGAATGAATTCATAAGCTATCCAAAAGAAAAATGGGCTAGAGACATACACAGGCAATTCACAGATAAACAAATGGCCATTAGCATAGAAAATATGTTCAATTTGACTTATAGATAGGAAAATGCAAATTAAACAACTATAGGATACCATTTTTCGGACATTAGATTGGCACACATGTAGACATTTGATAATATCAAGTGTTTTGGAGGCTGTGGGGACACAGATACTCTCATGCAGCTGAAAGAAACATAAACTGGTATTGCCTATTTTAGAGTATTGGAGTAACAACGATTAAAATTAGAAATAATACTCCCTATGACCCAGTAATTCCATTTTTCATTATGTACCCCAGAAGAAATATTGTGTCTGCAGGAGATATGCACAAAAATGTTTACTAATGAACAATTAGTTATATCAATAGGCTTCTGAGTAATACTAAATGTCTAGGTTATGAACTACTGCAGCAGTTAAAAACCAGTAGAGATCTATGCACTGACCCAGAAAGATTGAAGTGGTACTGTTAAAAAAAAAAAAAGTAATTTGTAGAAAAATACGTGTAGCATAACCCAACTTATTTTTTTTAAATGCTGAATGATTTCAATCGATGCATTTATATACATGTAAATGCCATAGGAAAAGGTATGGAAGGGTGCACTCCAAACTGACTATATCATGATCACTTCCAGGGATAGAGATGGAGATCAAAGTTGAGAAGGTGGTGAAAGAAGATTAACTTTATTCACAGGTTATAGAAAAGTTGTGTCATATAACATTGGTTTAAAAGCATATATAATAACAAAAGAAAAAAGAGATTGGTCTGAGAATTTGGAGATGGTTCCTGTACTGCCTCTCCCCAGCTGAGAAACGCTGGGCAAACCATTCAATCCTTCTGTGCTTCTGTTCCTTTCTCTGAAAATTGACAAGCAATGATTCACTACGAGCCTACCCTTCTCTGAAGTTCTATAAAACTTCAGTAGGATCTCCAGTCAACTGCCAAAAAACAAAGGCCCCAGGCAGTGGATAGCTAAACATGGTCTAGAATTGTGCTGTCCAGTGCAGTAAATAATACAAAAATTAAATTGAAAATTCAGTCTCTCAGTTGCATTAGGCACATTTCAAGTGCTCAATTGCCACAAATAGCTAGTGGCTACCACAATGGACAGCACAGACACACAAAACTTCCACCAAGAAAAGTTCTACTGCACTATGCCAGCCCAGAAAGATGGAGTTCATGTGTATCCTTTTAAAAAGTATACAGAGAGACAGGTGGGAGTGGAGCAGAGCCAGCTGACAACCTTTTTCACAATCTGCCGGGCCAATACCCAGATTTCCATCCGTGTCTGAATACACACCCAAAAGGCACCCTAGGGCAAAGACAGAAATCAAGTGAGAACCTCTTATCTTTCTCCCTCATGTCAATTGAAGAACAGGGTATTTATTGTTTGTTCTCAATGACAAAAATCCCAGACAGAAGGGCAGTGTTGAGAAGAGATTTTGTTTTGCTTTGCATTTGGACCCAAGAGAAATACATGTCCTCACCTGCTCTTTCGGATTTATCAAGAGATGGTATACACCTTATCACACAGAATCAAGAAAAGTAGGTAGGACAGGGTGTGAGCCCTGATGGTCCGAGGTTCCTTCCTCTACCTCCTGATAGAACAGCAAGTAGACAGATAGACTGCTCGTTGCACTCATGGTTCTTCCTGCCGAACGAGGTGAGGGAGGGAGAGGAAGGGAGATGTAGAGAGAGAAAGAAACTGACCACAGAAATCAGCATGCACAGATAATGCTGCTCCTTGAGAGGGAGACCAACTCCTTTAAGAAGGACCTCTTTGCAATCCAGAGCAGCCCGGCAGTGAGCACAGGGAGCCCAACTCACAGCGGTGCCTGTCCACCCACCTCCCCAACCACCAGGGAACACCAGACAGGCCTGTGGCACCAAAGAAGAAAGGAGAGCCCTCTAGGTCAGACACCTGACTTTCAATCCTGGCTCTGCTTCTCAGTATCTGTGTGGCTTTGACTCAGGGACTCCATTCCTCTGAAGTTTCCATCTGCAGATACAAACAGGGACCTCACCTCCCACTCCCCAAGGCTCTTTCGAAAGTTGAGTAAGACCTTCGTGAGGCCCCCAAAGCACAGCACGCAGTAAGTGCCCATGAAACGAGAACTTTCCTTGTCATCGGAGGATGATGTGAAATCAAAGCACGGAGGTAATATTACAGGAATCAATGGAAAGGCAAAGAATGAATGTGAAAGACTGACAGTGAGAAACAGCTCGTGTGTGGTGGCTCCCGGGACCACTTCCAGGCTTCTCTGTGGGTGACCTGGAGTGGGGGGGAGGAGGGGCCAGGTCAAGAAACCTCGCCATCAGGTGTGAAATGAAAAGAACACCTTCCTCCACCCTCCGGCCTCCCCCACCCCCTAGAAAGTGGTAGAAGGTGTAGAACCCTGACTTGCTCTGAAGGAGCCCTGCCAGCTCTCTGGATATTTGGTAAGAAAAACAAATGGTCATTTACTTGCTTCTCCAGAAAATCAGTTATTTGGGTCTTGCAAATAGAACTTAATGTCCTGGGATAGCATGCTCTGCCCTCAAGGTCCCAAATGCCCTCTTGTCCCCATTTTCTTGTCCCCTTTCTCCAGGCTTCTCCAAGGGTGAGGTGTTCTCAGGGGCTTGGGCAAGCAGGGCCACCTTCCAGCCACAGCAAGCACCTGCCGCGACACAGAAGCTCCAGGTCAGCTGGGCTCCAAAGAAGGGGCACTTCACTTCATGCAGCCGAGCTGAGAGCAAAAGACTTTTGCATCTTGGAATTTTGCAGGTGGTAGATGAGGTTCGAGGAGGAAAGGGTGCTTCTAGTGCACATCAGGAGGGCTGAAGCAGGAGCAGGGAGAGCCTTCGCTGATTTGGTCCAAGCATTGCTTGGAGGAGAACAGGGTTACCCCTTTTCTGGCTGGGAAAAGCCAGGGCTCAGCAAGGTTAAGTGACTTGCTCATGACCCTAAGGCTCAAAGGCCACTGGATGAAACCTCAGGGATGTGGCCCTATTTGTTTCCTTTGTGTCACAACTGACTTCTGACCCAGAAAGCCAAGTCTCCCCAAGCCTGGATTATGCATTTTCAGACAAGCAGGTCCATCCCACCAGCTACATATAAGAATCCCAGAGGTAAACATGGTTGCCACAGCTCGGAGACCAGAGTGTCACAGAGAGAGCTCACCAGAACCAACCCCCACCCCCACCCCTGCCCAGCTCTGCCACTCTAAGCAGCAATTTATGTGTCCTGGTACGCAGAGAGAAGGACACTTGCTTTTCCTTTGTCTGGCTATACACGTAGTAGGGTTCATTCATTGTGGGAAAAAGAGACAATATTTAAAAATATAAATTACAAAGAAAATACTCCCTTCAAAATAAGTAAGCATTCTAGTGTTTGTGCTTCCAGACTTTTCTTTTAGGCATGGAGACAAACATATTCAGGATTCTGTTTTATATACCGTTTCCATTTGACAATATAGTGTGACCACTGCCCCTTGTCATTAAATCCTGTTTAATGAGATCATCTCAAATGGCTGCAGAGTATCTCCCAGGTACTTGGAGAGATACAGGTAGTTGCTCGGATTAGCAACTCTGATGAGGTGCTGGGCACCTGAGCACCTGATTTAAGGCACTGGCTCTCAGCATTGTGTGAGTGCAAGGTGGGCATCTGGCTGTGAGTGACGCTGTGAGCTCCCCCACCCCTATGCCTCCCTTGCCTCACCCCCACCTTGGCCCTGGTGTTGCCAACCTAGGTAAGGACCACAGTATTGACCCCTGGAGTTGGGCCTGTAGGCGGCTCAAACTTTCCCCCACTATAAACACCGCAATGAGAACTCGTAAGTGACACTTGCTTCAAAACGATTTTTCTATCAACTCTGCTCAGAGCTTTTTAAAATACTCTCAGATGGATATGGCTGCCACCAAATCCAAAATGTGGGACTGATTTTCAAAATGGCAACTGGCCAGAGAAACTGTTTTGAATTTTACTAAATTCAAACTTTAACAATGTTAAGTAGCATTTGTTCTTTGTTGAATTTGGAATATTAGGAAATTGGTATTGTCCTCGGAAGAAGGGAAAAACCCATGCGGTGCTTTATTGCAACTCCCTGCCTTTAGTTTTGGATGCAAACCTTGCAGAATATACCTGCTACCCAACCACACTCCACACACACACACACACACACATACCACACCACACCACACCAGGGAAACTAGTCCACGATTTTACTCTCATTTCAGTCATCCCAACAAGCATTATGTATCTGCCTAATAAGCATGTATTAATAGCTTCATTAAAGATCCTAGCTCTTGATCCCTCACCCAGCCCCGCTCCCACACGGGGTCCATCTCAAAGTCCTGCCAATTCAGTTTCCGTTAAATGCACTCAAATCTACCACCCTTTCTCCTCCATCACTTCAACCCTAGTACAAATGACCACCATTTCTCCTCTAAAAAATCTGCCTGCACCCCCTCCAGTCCTCACCCACCAGTTTCTACCCTGCCACCAGAATGACCTATCCTGGCGGCAATCAGTCACTCCCAGCCCCTGCTGGCTCCACGCATGAGTTACCTGGCCCCACCCCCTTACCTTTGTCTCCCCCATGTTCTACTCCTCCCCCCTCCCTTTATTCTAGTTACTTCCTAGTCAAACTGAAGAGTGTGGGGTCAAATATTATTTCCCATGAAAATCTTGCTCCCCAGGTGAGGTGGGCCTCCCGGTGATAGTCATTTCGGTTGTGTTTGTATTGTATTGCCAGATGTAATTAATTGCCCAATTCACGGTTATATGCCTGCCCCATTTCCATCCTCATAAAGTTTCATGAACTATTCAACTGCCT